AGCATTCTGGGGAGAAGTAAGTAAAATCGATTTGACTCTTATGACGATCAATGTATGAGGGTTTGGGAGGGGTAAAGGTAGTAAACCACATTCATGAACTTCAAAATTTCAATGAAAAGCAGCACTTCCCACCCATCTTCACCACATCATCTGAGTATGCATTTTCCACTCACAAAGGGCATAGTGAGTCATTCAAGAAGAGCTATAGGTGAGAAGAAACAGAACCTATGTTACTTATCAATATATTGTTGTACGGCGCGAAATACCACACGCTAACCTCAACAGTAACAAATTGCGGTCAAGTAATACGGGCTAATAGCCAGCAAGGAAGGATCGAAGGTGGTGGCATTCGCAAACACATAGATAGGGAGTACCGTTCAAAAGCCCGTTAGCTCGAAGTCCAGAACATATTACGCGAATGTGAAGCAGCTGACCGCGGCACGCTAATCTCGATGTATAATGGTGCTGACCGCTCGACCTCATGGATTCAAGGTGACGTCCCTTGAGGCACTTTGCCAACTCGTAAATGAGCTATCCCATTAGAGGGATTCAGAGAGAGTGCGTGTCAAAACGGAAAAGACGAGCAGAGAGCAATGTGGTATGAATGAAATTTCTGGCGAATGGAAGGGCAGAGAACCTCGCAAATATTATTTCGAAGTGACACCGTAACGCTTCCTAGCAATATGACTTTACCTCCAAAGAATGACGCAAAATTCAGCCACTGATAGACTCCATGAGAAGTCCTGAAACTGTACGAGATCAAGAATTATCAGGTACTTTATTAAAACCAATTGCCACTACATCACCCTCGTCCGAAGCAAAGGAAGTTAAGAAAATCCGCTCTTACAGCTGTCAGAACACCTATCTTGAACGGAAGAAAAAAGGATATTTATAGATTCTCCAAGATTCAAAATTTGTTGAGGCAGCGTAAAAAATCATAATTTGTTACAATTGATGAACATTATTCTATAGAGAGGTCTTCGGAAAACTGTAGCGATTAATTGAGTTCTGTCATGAGTAAATATTTCTCTCAGTTGGGGAGAAGACGTCGTGTGGCATATTGGTCCTGCCTAACACGCAGCACGCTCCCAATCAAATTTCTGGCGTCGTGAAGGTCGGGACATGCCGAGAAACCATCGAAAGAATGAAGAAACGTCAAAGTATTCATTCATTCAGAGAAAAAAAGACAGGTCACCTAGGCCTTACATCTACTAGTCAACGGGCTAGCTCAATTATGACCAGCAATATCAGGATAAGAACATGAACTTGTATTTTGGCCGCCAAATCGCGTTCAAAATTCCACTGCGACCTGGCTGGATTTAGAATTCGTGCGCATCCAAAAAAAAATATTCCGAGCTCCTTACCCTTTTATACTCACTCGCTTCCAGTTCTAAGTTTCAGCAATAGAGAGGACGGAGTACGCCGATGAAACAATACAAACCAAAGCCATTTAAGCAAGTGGAAAAATTCTACTTCTTTCAACGCGACCGGCGGAGGCGTTGAAAGAAGTAGAATTTTTGACTTGGAGGCGCGCAAACAGTGGACTAATCAGAAAAAGTCTGTGCATTCACTCAAATGCTGAGAAAGAACCCTGAATTCAATCTCACAAATTCTTACTACTACGTTAAGGTTGGCGGTAATCGAATTAAAGGGTTTAGATATATTTAATTCATTTCAGAAATCTTCATGGTCTTTCTTCTGCGTCTGTGATGGAAACGTCCCACAGCAATCTGAGCGGGATCGTTCCGCAGGCCATAGAATCATATGTGAACCCAGCGCCGTCGCGAACCGCGTGTCATGGAATCGGTTCATTATGACTCCATTTGTAAGGCATAAAAATGACCGGGAGCTTTCCCACTCATTTCGTTATTTTCACATAAGGGCTCCCATATGAAAGCCCGTTGAAGGAGGCCTAGGGTAGAAAGGGGGAGGAGTGAAGGATCATAACAAAAGCGACGGAGGCTGGAGCTCGAGTACGATGACGAATTACGAAGAGCAAAGTTGAGAACAACCAACAGAACGAGGTTAGGAATACTATGGCTACTCCTTCTAAAGGACAGAGGGACTCTGATTTTCCCTCCTGTAGTTGAACGTCCATATGACGGCTCCCTTCGTTTCAATTTGTGCAACCCTATTATTGAGAGCATTCCTTTTTTCTACGCCCAAGATTTCCTAGCTCTATTTGAGGCCGAACCTGGTAAGCTAATCTTGCGCTATGTACTTCCTGGGAGCCCTCTTTCTCAACGCCGTCGCCATATCACGGGCCGATCCTGGCGTGTTCTTCTAAGTTGAAGTCATAAAGTGTCAACAGCCGAAAATTGCGATTCTTCAGTCTAAAAAGGGCTTAAACGTCGGAAGTGTCTGAAAACCTCGAACCTCCGCATGGAAATTTAACAGGTGACTATACTCCAGGAGAAAACACCCAAATTGGTTGAACAATGGTGGAAGGAAGAAACTCCCAAAAAGCAGGGAAATACATCGGTGCTAGGAGGGGCACATTTTTGACCACCCTGATATTTGTGCCCGCCGTACCTTACTTCCCTAAAAAATGGTGCCGAACGCTGACGGAGCAAACGAATAGTTAACAAGACTAAGCACTGCCGCTACGCCCGCCTCAAGCACAACTTATTGCTATATAGTAGACGTTGATGTGACCCAAACGCAGCGAATGGAAACATGGGAGGTGCGTGACGGCGCAACAGAGAGACTGAACAGTATCAACACTTACTTTCTAAAAACACCGATGAAGAGCCTGGTGCATAGTCATATTTAACATAGCACACTGTAATTAACACAGACCCTCACCTTCTCGGCTTGCTGATTGTGGTGCATTGGCTGCAGGAAGGCTGGTTGCTGCTAGTGCTGTGAACGAATCACCGCTTCTCATTTAGCTGCCACTTCATACCACCGCGGAGCAAACCACAAGCGCACGGATGCAGCTGGCAACAAAATTAGCATGCTCGCTCCCGACCCCGCCGTTCTCGGCTGTGTCTGGGCGACTACGCTGTGGTATGCATAATTAGGTTTATTCCGAAACAAATGCATGCGCAATGTTATGGCCGGCTTTGTCGCAAGCACGCAATGGAGCAATCAGAAGCGGAAGAGTGCATCGTGATGCTCGCTGCAGAAACCTCGGGTCAGATCTTGCGACCACTCAAAAAATCAGGGTAGTAGAAATTCCAGTAGCAGTCTGATGATGCCTGTCCGGTCCCTTCTTGCTCTCACAACCAATACCTTCATAGGAACAAGAAAAAACTGATTGGGAAAAGACTGCAGTGAAGAGAAATGACCGCGAATACTGCTTTATTTTTCGTTTCGACCGGCAATATTTCAGGAATCCACAATTTTTGCATCAGTTCCCATCCGTCCCCAATGCTACACCCGCGCTGCTGAGTTAACTAAACCGAAATCCTGGGGGACCTCAAATCAATCCGGAATGTAGTTGCTGCATGACAGAGTAGTCCGTTTTATGAGTATCGCTAGAGGCACGCAGAAAAGTTTCATCAATCATGGACGGGGTCTAACTTTTCTACACGAATGAGACTTGGGAAGAAAATCAGGCTTGTTAGCGTGGAGTCATGGAAACTCAGGAAACTAACGGAAAGTCTATGGATTGCCTGACAATATCCTCACTCGAATTTCTAATCTGTCACTTTCAAAAGATGAACGTGTTTTGTATCAGATTTCGCCCTGCTGTACGCATACAAATGCTTGATCCACCTGACCTCATGGTGAAACGTGCCCTCCAAGGTAAAGTTCGGGCTCAGACACACTTAAAAACCCTTACCGTGGAAAGAAGTGCTGGGTACGCAAGTGCAGAGGTCGCGCCACTTCCTACATCGAAAAGCGTTAAGACGCTAGGCGCTAAGGACTTTGACACGCTCCACCTGTTGCGACACGCTCCGCCCACCGCTCGATATCTTGTCTGCGTCGCAATGTTGATCTGCTATGCTCTCTCTTCTCGACTTCTCTAGCGCTCACATTATCTCTCATCTCCCTGCCGGCCTTTTGAACTTCTCCGCAGCGTAGAGCAAAAGGCTCGTATTTCCTGTGTATTTCAGGATTTTCTTTTTTTCTCCACTGGCGGTCCACCTCCCATCCCTACTTTCACATTTGAGTGGAATCACACCCATCAATTCAATGCTGGTTCTTGCCTTCAAAGACATGCCGGATCATCTGCTGTGGTCCCTGATTAGGAATAGAAGGTATTAGTGCGAAATGGGTCGGCAGGAAGGAGAGAAACTGTGTTGAAAACTCAGTTTAGGTTTCACAAGAATGCTGGGTTGTGAACAAAACTTTCGCCCCAGGCGGGACTAGAACCCGCACCTCTCGCTTTCCGGGCAAGTGCGCTACCAGTTACGCTACCGGGGCACCATTTCATTCCAACTCAGCTTTTCATGGTATACGTACCATAGCTTTCAGCACTCACACGTATAACGTGTTGAGCCGGTTAGCCGAATGAATGCTAGGTTGTGAACAAAACTTTCGCCCCAGGTGCCCCGGTAGCGTAACTGGTAGCGCACTTGCCCGGAAAGCGAGAGGTGCGGGTTCTAGTCCCGCCTGGGGCGAAAGTTTTGTTCACAACCCAGCATTCTTGTGAAACATTCGCAAGGCGAACTGCGGCCAAAAACAGCAGTTAACAAACAAAAACAAGTCAAAACTCAGTTTAGGGATTTGTTCACCTTTGTAAGCAGCTGTGCTAAGGCAATAAGAGACTAAGCGCGGAGAGGAGAGAATCAGGCGTGAGAGAGCATAGATGCGATGGCATCATGCAGCCTGCTGCGGACAGGGATATTGCAGCGGCTACAGCTAACCCAAGGCCTTGGCGCCCTTGTCAGGTAATTGGCATTCTCAGGTGTGCCACGTATGTGATTGTTCTCCAAGGGATATCCTACGGAGTGAAGGGAGTCGTTCACACAACTTTTGCCTTGATTTTGTCTTCACCTAAGGCAAACCCCGACTAGAACTGGTGTATAAGAGCATACCTTAGTGATGGATGAATTGCGAATGGACTTAAAGTGGAAAAGAAAGCAAGCGAAGCGAAAAAAAGGCCTTGATCTTCGGTAAGATCGGATGTATTAGTACGAGGCGAGACAAAACGATCAGAGAAGACAGAACACGCGAGAGAGCATTCCGTTCGAGAGCGCGCTGATCTCCACATCAATGGCGGGTGGGTGGGAAGCGTTGCAATAAGGGCCGATGGTTGCAGCACCTCAACGATATACAGCAGATTGATCCAGCATGTCTTTGAAGGCAAGAACCAGGATTGAATTGATGGGTGTGATTCCACTCAAATGTGAAAGTAGGGATGGGAGGTGGACCGCCAGTGGAGAAAAAAGGAAAGAAAATCGTGAAATACACAGGAAATACGAGCCTTTTGCTCTACGCTGCGGAGAAGTTCAAAAGGCCGGCAGGGAGATGAGAGATAATGTGAGCGTAGAGAAGTCCGAGAAGAGAGAGCATAGCAGATCAACATTGCGACGCAGACAAGATATCGAGCGGTGGGCGGAGCGTGTCGCACAGGTGGAGCGTGTCAAAGTCCTTAGCGCCTAGCGTCTTAACGCTTTTCGATGTAGGGAAGTGGCGCGACCTCTGCACTTGCGTACCCAGCACTTCTAGCCACGGTAAGGGTTTTTAAGTGTGTCTGAGCCCGAACTTTACCTTGGAGGGCACGTTTCACCATGAGGTCAGGTGGATTCAAGCATTTGTATGCGTACAGAAGATCTGCTCACTAATGAGTTTCAGATATCTTGAACTCCATACACGAAAGTGCGCGACGTGGATGCTTCTTGAAGATTGCTTCGACCGTTTCCATTCTCCCTCAATCAGAACACCATTGTCTGTGCACTCTCCCCCGTTGTAACTGGGCTCGCATATTCTTATTTTTCGTCTTGTTTACTTAGCGCTTACTTCTCAGTGGACAGACGAATTTCAAAGACTAGAATGCTGTTAGCAAGCGTTTTACCGCAGATTCTCTCTTCTACTTTAGGTATGGACCCAATTCGCCCGAACTGCTTTCAATATTCATCGGCACCAGTCACACAACACAATTTTTTCATGGTAAGTGGCTACTAGGCCCAACGAGATTATGGAACAAAAAGATGAGTCTTTTCGAAAGAAGACTTGACACTAACAACCATAATATCAAATTGAACTGTTCCCTGATTTTCCACCCCTTCCCCACGTTTATCGCAGAAGTATTATTCCAGTGGAACGAGGCAGTGAGAGGGAACAATGAGTCATTTTCGATCGCGGAGGACACATTCTTCAGCTAAGGGCGACCAATTCCCCGCGAGGACATTGCATTAGAAATGATGGCTTCACTGTGATGAAAAATTCAGCCTGATGAGGCACCGGCAAATCCTTTCATCAAATTTCTTAGCCATTGGCGATTTGGGAACGATTCTTTTTATCAACATAGCGCTTAGCAAAACAGGATTTTCAAGCAGTTTTGAAACTCAAAAGCATTCTTATTGATCTTGAGGTCATTAAGGAAAAAGGATAACTGAAGAAGTGAATTTCGTCAAGTACATAGTTTTCTATGTCGAAACTACTAGAGAAGGCTGTTGGGACTACATTTTCGTGACTAAGTCTGGGCGAATGAAAGCGGTTATAGGATAGAAAGGCTAATTTTGCCAGGCAAATATAAATGTTCCCCCAAAACCTATCAAACATTTGAGTACTTATATGAATTTCAACGGTGACCGTTTCAACGCTAACGCTCTCTCTGCTCAACGCCTAGACAATTGACGACTCGAAAGGGGGCGTACCGCGCAAATAGCGCCGCGAGAAAGTCCATGCTAGATTGCCAGGGGCATATCCTTCAATACAAATTGTTGTCCCTCCGCAGGAGGTCCGCCCGCCTCTCCACTGTAATGTTTCCCATTCCTCGACCTCCGCGCTTATCGTAGAATGCTCCTTTCAAGCAGCGCTTTGAGACCATAACTCTTTTCGAAATCCTTAATCAGAACCATCCTCTACCATCCAAACTGTTTTGCTTCAGCCTTCCATCTCTAGAAAAAACACCTAAATTTAGGTACAGATCCAGCACCAGCTGTTGCCGAGTTGTACCGTTATACCCACTCAGGTCAGCAAATGAGATAGGAAGTCAGCTGTGTTGAAGGACAGCGAGATCTATTCTTCCTCGACTTATTGAATGAAAGTACAAATCGTATGATGTCGATCGTTAACTTTCTCACCGCGTCCCACAAGGTTTTTTACTCATTCCACGTACGATCGGAATTGCATTCGCTTTGAATTAGGCATTGCAAAGCCGAGCGACGAATATTAGTGTTTTCACTTTCTAGGCCAATCTGGTGACAATTACTAGCCCAGAAGATCTCTTCGAGTGCCTAAACCATGTGCGCGGTAGCGCCACGACCTGGATGGCACTACTCCAGCCTAAACAGAAGTCATTTACTTTAATCAAGAAGCGACAAAAATTTCGCAAGCATATAAACTTTGAAGGTAAAGCCTTGGTCAGAAAATATCTCTGCCCAAGGCTTTAGCTTCAAAGCTTCCATGCTTTTGCTGTCGAATTTAGAATACTTATCCTAGTTGGCTTATTAGCTTCATGGATTGTGCTGTAGCGTTAAACGCAAGCAGTAAGAGAGGTAGGATGGTGGCATTAATAAGTTGAAGAAATGCGGTGATGACAGCCCCCTGTGATACTTCAAGCCGCTTCAGCCGCTTCAACGTTCTCCTTTCACAGCATGATGTTTTCTGGCGTCCTCACGCTGCTACGTTCGCTCGCCTCATATTCTCCTCTCTGCTCTCAGTTCTATTATCGTTAGCTCAGCCGTGTTGAGAAAATGACTAAACCCTTACGGTGAAGGCACAACCCAGGCAGAGGTCGTGTGAACACTTCTCTTCGGTCTGTAGTATAGACCCCTAGAGGACAATCACAAATGTGGCGTTCTCGTGCACGGAAACCAACCGACAAGAGCGCTTGGGCCTTGCAAAGTAAGCTGCCAAGCTGCAGACTTTTTTCTCTTATCAGGCTGTTGTCTGGCAATCTCTCATCTGTAGCGCTCTTTCGTCCCATCCTCCCAACACCAGATTTCTCGGTTTACTTCATTTCCAGGATAATGGGTAATTTCCGAGGGTATGTGGGAAATTAGTGACAGTATTCCATATTAATAGTTTGAGCACAAAATTTCATGAAGTCATCGTAAAGAAGCAGAGTGGCTGAGTTTGTAGTACAAGAAATTAGATATTACTTCTGCTATGACCGAGCCTTCTCTCCGCATTGTTGCTGTGAAACTCTGTGGGCACAAAACGATGCCTATTAATTTGATTTGGAATCAAATGCACCAAGGTAATAGAAGATGTGAGTAGTGTAGTAGATCACTTTCGCAGGAACCTGATGACACTGGAATGCACCCAAGCGAGGCCGTGGATATAAACATCAAAGGTGAAAGGAAATTTTTTTGAACGCTTAGTTTTCTTACAGGCAAAATTTACAATGGAAAAGCAACCCCCGACCTCGTCGACCGAGCCAACAATGAGCCATGCTAGGTCGTCGAGGTCAAATTTTTAAGTGCCAATTGCGCGTCCGCACCTCAGGAGGTCCGCCGGTCTCTCAACTAGGTGAATTACTCCTTCTTCGACCTTCATTCTAATCGTGAGTTCCTCCTTTGAGCACGTCATTGGCACGGATAAGAAATAATACCAAGGAGGATTATAACATTCAGAGTGGAGAAAAGAGAACATCCACTGAACATCTAGAATAGAATCGAGTACTCTGGGGAACATCTGAGGAATATGCTGCTGTAAACCTTCCATCAAATTCGACAAAAAGAAAATTATCTAACTGTTCGAGAAGATTGCAGAGATGGACCATGGCATCTTGAAATAAAACTGCAACAGCGAGTGAAGATAGAATCAGGAAGGTTCTGAGAATTCCGTTGTGTTGCGCCGCGCATTCAACCACCATCCCGAACTAAAGACATCGGAGTGCTTGTATGATTCATTACAATAGCGGTTGCATGCTGGACAGCTTGATAAGCACTAGTACATATGCATAACTATGTTTCCAATACATTCATTTGTTTTATAACAAATGATGTCTCGCATTCCTAGTCTTGAATTTGAGCCATCTTTGAGGCTTCAATGTTATAATGCTGAACCCAAAAGATCGGCACTAGACGTTCGAGTTCTAGTTAAAATGTTTTCTTTGGAGTATCACGAAGAATACGGAAAAAGTATACGCTATTTATTTATTTATTTAAGCGCCCAAATGACGCGCTCTTACTAACGAGGTAGATGAGGTCAGCACTTAAGCAACATTGAATAAATGTGCACAAAAAAGAGACAAGAGGATCGAAGTCGTACCATTAGCAACTAGAAGATATAGGCTCTTCAATGGAAGACGGAACTCTTTGATAGGCTCACCGGTATTAATTCTTCGTTTGTCGGCATCGTGCATGATTTCTGTCAAGCTTTCACATCGTTCTCAGCATGACTCATCCCTTCCTGAAAGGGACATCAAGTGTTATGCATATCTTAATGACAAAACCGTCCATTGCGAAGTAGAGCACCGCGAGAATGTTTATATAGGGTATGTTTTAGAAGAGGAGTACCACAAGTCGGGACATCGATCGGTGCATGAAATGTGAATATTCCTAGGAATCACTGGCAGTAAGCGAAATGATAACATTATACGCGGAACCGGTTTCCGAATGGTAGCCACTTTTCAGGAAAAATCAATTTTCTGCCGCCTGCCTTCAATACATGGGAAGGGGTGCTCCGCAAGAGCCTAAATTTCGACAGATTCGAAGGAATAGCTCATCACTATGGGTCAATGTCTTCAGAAATATGCGGAAGCCGCTTGAATGATGCCTGTGCTCACTAAAGGTGGTGATCTGCAAGGTGAAGTAAGTGGAATGAAAACGACCTAATTAGGGCAAGAAAGCAGTGAAGAGAGCTTGTAGACTTCGCCGTGCAAACGTAAGGAGAAGGAATATCGTTGGAGCTTTTCTGAAGCTACATAGGCGACAGAGGTCGGCAAGGATTCTGCACGACAATTGCCAGGCGAGGTGGGAGATTATCAGTGAAATACTAATTCGAATAATTGAGCGAAGAATATGGGAATAGTGAATGTAAAGTGATGCTACTGGTGAATCGCTGGCCGTCAGCTGCTTCTGACTTATTGAAGAATACGGCACCGACGATGCTTACTTAGTCCAGAAAATAGCTAATTATCTGCATTACGAAATCGCTCCCAATTCGTTGTTCATCCAGTGCCTTGTTTCACTGCGAATAGATAACATGACTGCAAAGAAAATAATGGATTTCGAAAAGCTTCATCGGAACTTAATTCAGTGGGCATGCAAAATGAGCATATTTACCCCTTTCGGACCTGAATTTTTCCGTGGAAAAATTTTTCTTCTAGCTATTGTTTATTACTTGTGAGCATATAAGTATCATTATAGCGAAATTTGGAAGCTATTCGATCACAAACTAAGAAACTAGGAAGCTTTGAAAATTGGCCCACCTTCTTAGTTTTTTATGTCGAAACAATTTCAAATTTCTTGGATACATACGCGAGGAATTTTATGATTTTGCACAACATTACATCTATTAGAAATTGAATATGTGTCAAGTATTTTAGAAATGATTGGCAGGTTGCGGGGACCAGAGCCGATTCATTGTTGCACTTGTACACATATGTATATTAAAGGCACGAGTCAGGCTCAGTGGACGAAACCAATCCCGTCTGTCGTCTTTGTGCATGGCTACACACCCACAGAGACGTTACCATGCTCAGAATCTCAAACGGCGCCGTAGCACTTATAGTATTTATTTATTTATTTATTTACTGTGCGCCCAGGAGACGCGCTTTAACAAGTCAAGCAAGAGGGCAGATAGAGGTAGCAGCTGTTAAGGACTTCAACGATAACTAACAAGAACATAAAAATGAAAACAAAGGAAAACAAAGTGTAAAGTATAAAATAAGATGAGGGTGATTGCTGCATCACAAAGAGCTCGAGAGTAAAAAAATCAACAAACTACGCGCAAGTGAAAGGATCGGATAGACTGCAGAGCGAATAAATGCAAATAAAGAAAGGATGAAAAAGCTTACCAGTCAAGCGGACCACATTGCAGTGATGCTAAGATGAAGAAATGAAGCCGATGAGAAAGAGATAGTACTGAGGAACGGAATGGTCCAAGGAGGACGGTAGAAAAGAGGTGGCAGAAGTCATCTTGCATACAGCTAAATTCAACCTTATGACACAGACCCGCATCAGTCGGCAATGATGCCCTCCAGCCACAGGCGGAGTCATAAGAGCTTGCCGAAACTTCGGGACACGGGTATACCGACCACCCACGTGGAGACGGCAAGCTGGGTAGGTGTCATAAGCGAGACTATTGACATCCTAGTAAACATCGACAGCCACCTTCAAATTTTATGGAGGACCAACAGTGTAAAAGCGATGAGTGCAATAAAGGATTGACTAAAATTCTTTCACTACTCCTACCGGAGCAGGATTCTATGCAAGGCGGACCATTGGACTGGTAAGCGATTACAATTAAACGTGGCACTGCTGAGTAACAAGAGAATAACACATCAACAGACATCGGCGATTCCCAAAATGTTCAGTACGTTGACCTTTCTGATGTAGTTTTTGAAGTCTTTTGAATTACTGAGCCCAAGAAGACGAGAAGGCAGCCGCTCCAGCCATTTCGTGGTCCGAAGTATGAAAGAGTTAGTTCTGAGGTCACGTCGCCACTTGCCCATCTTGAGGTTGTAGATACGGAATGCGCCAGTTCGCCCAGACGTCGGTCGAAAGGTCCAGTACCTGGACGGCTTTACACGGAGTTCACCCTTCAGTAGCTTGAATGCTAAAATCAAATCTGATTGTATGCGTCTGTAAAAGAGGCTTTTCATATTCAGTTTTTGTAGGCGTGCCTGGTAGGAGGGTAGGGTGAGGGGGTAGTTCTTATCTGGAAAAGCCCTGTAGAAAAGTATCCGAGTAAATGTTTTCTGAACTTTTTCAATTTTCTGGATATCCTTAGCTAGAGAGGGGCTCCATACAGAGCTACAGTATTCGAGGACAGGGAGGACATACATTTTATAAAGCTTGA